GGATCCATAGCCCTTACAATCCATACTCTGTATATCATCATCATAACAATCTCTGTGCAAGGAAAATGGCCTAACTGCTGCCTAGGGATGAGCAGTGATTATCTAGCATCGCACACACCTACAGCAGAGGCCAAAATTAGACAGGGTTCCTTGTGCTGAAGTTGAATTTGAGCCCATAAATGACCCTCTGCCATCTTTAAAAAGACAAAAACCCGAGAACACATTTTGCTTTAATCTCAATTTTTGCCTGCCACTTGACACAGTCAACTCTCACCCAATTGCCACTTCTCTATCTTAAATACCTTCAACATTAATAGCAAAGTTTAGCAGTTACTGTGTTCAAAGAGCAAAGCAAGGAAAGAACATGAGTTTTAAACTATAAAATGATCATAGAGGCTTCTCTGAAGTTGGTTTTGATCAAAGCGTAGCCTTTCATTCCTAACATTCTGCTGTCCCACAGATCTCTCCAGCCCCAGCAGCCACTGAAACCTGTTTTAGGTTTCCTCCTGAGCACCAATAATGAAGACTTGGCTGATTAAAATACCTCCTGCAGTTTCGAATAACCAGGAAAATACAGCAATCACTGAATATAAACATATTTGCCTGTAAGTGAGCCAGCAAATGCCACAAGCAGCTCCTGTCCTTACAGACTGCAGGTATAGCACATACATTCCCATGAAAGAGCTGAGCAGAAGAGTGACATCCTCCTAAAAGTTCAGCAAATAAAGCATAACCTGCACGTATCTTTGTGGGACTGGAGAAGACAAAACTGCTTGACCGAACTCCTAAAGCAATAAGCAGAGGAGAGGAGATATGGCTGCAATAAACCAGCAAAATCTAGTAGGTGCATTAGTGGTATAATAGGTTAGAAATGAGGAGTAGAAGTAGCAGTCTGCACTCTCACTGAAGGGTCTGGGAGCAAACATATAAAAGTTAAATGAGAAGACAGTCATTATGGATGTGATCACTGGCAACCAAACTTGCCAAACTCAGCAGGGGCATTTGGGGCCACTCTGCTCACAGCAGGTTTACCGCACACATTTTTAACAGAGTACTGTTAAAGTAAGCACTGCACTAAAGCAATAATATAATAATAAAAATTCTACGGAACAATCAGGAAAACATTGTGATGCACCAGAAGGATTTAAACGCCTTTAAGATTCTTTAGCTGGTTTGCTACCTTACGCATTGGAGTGCTGGAAAACTTTTTGCATGGGATACATAATTACTTCAAAGGCCAAGAAAATTTCTAGGTGCAAAATACACAGCAAGGAGGATTTTAAATGAAAGGATTTCAAAGACCATTCATTTCATTCTGCTTCCTGGGAAAGCCTTTTTACCAGGGGCATGGAAGAACTGATGGTGAGTTTAAATGGTTGTGTGTCCTGGTTTTCTTCCTGAAATGGAATAGGGACAGAAAATAACAGCTTATGGCAACTAATCAGAAATAAAGAGTTATTTTATCATCAGAACCCCATCCTGATACATCAAGGATAGGCATCACACACTCTGCAGCACCACCCCCAAGTCACATTTTCAGTGAAGATTTCCTTTTTTCATTTTCTTTTTCTGCACTGGGAAGATACATTTCTTAGACCTGAACGGGACAACAAACGTATCTGTTGATTTAATTTAATTTAAATTCTTGACTTCAGAGAGATAAATCAATCCAAGTGTAATAGATTATAGGAACAGAAGAAATAATACTAGTACATAACTTCATAAGGACAATTGAGAACACCATTTTTTTCCATAAAATCCAATTCTGCAATACTGACTTTCATAAATACAGAAAACTGATGGTTATATGGCTTTTTCCTGCTAGAATTTTCCCCTTCTGTTTTTTTTCAGAGAAATATTATAGCAATGTTGACCTGTTAACTTCTTATTAAAGCTATTTGAACTTTGATGGGATTATTTTCAATGTATGGCAGCCACTGAACAGCCCTGTGACAGCCAGAGACACAGCATTATGTCTCTTTGCTAACCTCCATCCTAGGTAAGGTACAAAATAAATATAATATGGACTTCTGGAGCTCTCTAAACCAAGTTCTGACTTGAAACAGGACTATGACCCTAATCACTAGTAGGTACTGTGGATTTTTTTGCTAGCTTTAAAGAGCTATGGCATGTTATGGCTAACATGACAGTAATAATGTAACAGAGTGGTGCAGTATGCAGGGCAAAAGAAACCTCCTGAAGTTCAACAAGACTGAAAAACTCTGTCCCTGGGATATACTATTCCCACACCAGAGTCCATCCAGCTCCTTATTGTCCTCTCTCTATGCTAGTCCATCCCTATACGGGAAGCAAACAGATCTAAGAAGAGGCATCTGGCCAAGGCTTGCTGCTCAGATGGTGTTTCCTTGTATCCTTCATGAAAAAGAGGCTTTCCCCTGTCCCACACAGGAAAACATAGAACATTTGAACAACTGGACTACATGGCTATGCACTAGCAGAGGACAAATGCATACTTGACCATGACAAGGCTAAAGACCATAAGAACATTTTGATGGATACCTGGAAAGGAACAATTGAAGGTCATTTGCCCTCAACCCTTTTCTCCCTAAAGCATCTAGATTTTTTTATGGAAACCTCTTATACAAGAACTAGTGACAGCTGTCCTGATCTGTTGTAACAACCCAAAAATAAGATATAATGATCAATTACTGCTTCTGCTCCGCTGTGGTTAACTGGTGAGGCAAAAGTGAAAAAAGCAGTCCTTTAAAAATACCTGAGAAGATTGGAAGATTTCCCTGGGCTTGGCCATGAGTTGTTTTGGACTTTATTAAGAGCACTCGCTGAGAACAGGATGAGTCCTAGGAGCCACTGGAGACCCATAGCACACATTTTGCCAAAGGTGCATCTCTTTCCAAGCTCTTCTACTGAGAGCAGTATGCAGGGGTGATCTAGAGACTCAAGTCTATTTTGGAGGTGATACTGAACAAAAGGGATGTGGAGACTGATAAACCATGAATATAAGAATTGTGTTTAAACAGAAAAACCTGAGATCAAAATTCAACATACTGTATTTGCCTGAATACAGTTCCCACAAAAACACCACAGATTCATACCTTATATTATGTTTAAAGGCTAAAGAAGTTCAGAGCTTTATATTTTCACTCATCATCACTATTTTTCTGTTCAAGTAACTTTCTTCCATCTCCTACTACGCAACAGCCCTGGTCCTGTGAATGCTGGAAGTCTGGGCTGCTGCAGTTCATTACGGTGAGTGAAAAGCTCTCTCTTATTTGCTATCTATAACACATAATCTGCATTACTTTCTTAAACAGAAAAAAAATAGTAATTTGGGATATGTGTCAAGAGCTATGGAACTTGTTACGAGGGAGCTGTGAGTATGAAACTCCAGTGTGTCTTTTATCTGTGGCATAGCCGGGCATCAAGGTTGCCACTGTATACACAGCAAGTGCAGTTAAGTCATCAAGTCCCTAGGTGATCCAGGAACTCCCCGATTAATCATCTGCACAAGTGAGATAATGAACTGGTTTGAGACAATGAACTGACTGGAAACTAGGCAACTGGCCGAAGATCTTCACAAGAAAGTATTTGAGCAATTGGTGCAGGAGTTCTCCAGGTGGGAATGTCAGTGTTCTCTGAAGACAGCCTTCAGGCAGCACCTGTGCACAATTCCTGTGCTTAAGTGAGCCATCAGCCTGGGTGGAGAATCCAGCCTTTCCTCCTAGAGACCCCTGCGGGGGTTCCTGCTGCAAAGCTGAGATGCCTGTAAATAGTCAGTATAAACTGTTCCTGCAGATACAGAAACGGTCACGTAGGACAGATATTTAGTGAATATGTAAGATTGTAGGGAGATGCTTTGAATGTAATTAAGATAACCAATAGTGATAGATCATTCACTTGTGGTACTGGTGGTAGAATGGTGGGCCAGCTCTGATATAAGAATTCAGCAGAACAACAGTTTAGGGTCTCATCCAACCCAGATGAGGACATGCTTCTGTTTGAATGATTTAATTACCCCTTAGATCATTACTCTGTGCCAAGATCAATAATTTAGGGGTTTTTTTGTTTGTTTGTTTGTTTGGTTGGTTGTTTTTTTTTTTTTTTTTTTTTTTTTTAAAAAAACCAAGTGCTATGTCCACGCAACAGATACAGTAATATAAGCGTCATACAATTTGTTCATTATGCTAATTTTGTTCTAGTATACAGGTGTATGTAATCTAGAATAGTAGTTACTATTTCAAATAATATAGGATGAGGTTTAGAAAACCTTAGGAAGAGCTTTGTGGCCAGACTGTATCTTAATATTTACTACCCTTTATTTAACACAAAACCAGTCTTTCTGGTTTTGAACCCTCTTTGTCTGAATGGAAGTAGCCCTGCAGTCAGTTGCTGGGAATCAAGAGACAAACAGAAAGGCTGTCTTGCTGCAACCTTTTTTTTTTTTTTTTTAAAAAAAAAAACAGGTAACACAAGAAATTTCTCAATTTGTCTTCCCAGCTGTATGACATATCTAAAAGTAAATTGGAGGGCATACTAAAAACTATGAGCACAAAAATCAGAGTTGAAATGTACCTGTTTTCTGTTTGCACCATTCTTGGATACATCCATGACTTGTCTTGTAATTCAGTTGGAATTTACTATTTTTTAAAATGAGGAACTGTTAGTAACCACTTTCCTTCACAAGCAATAGCGCTACAACATGCAACAGATCAGTCAAAACTGATTGTATCAGCACAGTGACCACATCAGTATCATAAAAGTAGGGAAAAGAGATGACTTGTGAGGACTACTTGGGGACGTGAAACACTGTTTCTGGTATCGAGTCTTGCACATTAACAGCAAACTTGGAAAAAAAAAAAAAAACAACAACACAGGCAAGTTTTAAGAATTTTGCATAGAATCTGGCTCAAGACGGAAGCTGTGCACAGGCAATCTTTTAACTCACAAAAGACACTATCACATCCTGGTGCAAACAAAAAGTAGTGAACAAACAGATTTAAAGAGATAACAAAATAGCAAAATTCAGCTCAAAAATTAAGTATCTTTATTTTACAGTTTTAGAAAATTTTTACAGTTTTAAACTAAAACATGATAAAGGAAAGTAAATTCCAGTGTGTTTTAAAAGCAAGACAGAAGAAAAAACCAAACCACTGCAATTTCAGTTGACCAGTCATTTTCAAGTTTGTTTTCTTTCACCATATCTATGTATGCCTGAAATAGGCTTAATTACTCCATGGAAAATTCACTCTGTAGAAACCCTCAGGATATTTCTCATCTCTTGTCCTAAGATTCTGTTCCCCCCACTGTTAATTTTGAAATAAGGTTTTTCCCATCTTATATCACAGGAGGAAGCAAATCTACATTTGGTCACTGGAAACGCTATGTATTACAATGTATTTACATATATAAAAATATATATTCTGTTGTTCAACTGGATACAAGTCTGTATTTCAGTCAGAGGGAGAGCTGATAACAAAACCATCAAGAGCTAGATAGACATAGGGTAGAAAGAACCCACCCAGGCTGAATTGAAAATCTGATGCACACATTACAGCAAGACCTGCAGTTCTGGAAAACCAGAAATGTTTACCAAAACCATCCTTTACTACTTGGAAACAACATTGATTTTTCTCTTGCTCTTTGCAATGGTTCTATCCTCTTGGCAGCACAGAAAGATATTAGTAAGGTGACATGTTCAATTCTTTGTTATTACTTGCAAACAACAAAAAATAATCTTACTTGTACCATAGATATGATACTTATATCATAGATAAAAGTCACAAAATTATTGATTTCTTTGTCCCTGTAGATACCATGCACCAATTTTGCAAGTCATCACCTAGCAAATACTATACCTTCTACAGTCTGTGAGAAAGTAACCCTCTTCACACAAAGGGCTCTACAATTCAGCAAGGCAGTGAACTAAAGCTATGAAACTAATATGCACAGTGTATGTGGGTGACTAACTGACAAGGTAAGCAAGATGCAAGATAAAAATCAGGGAATCAAGGAAGGATATTAATTTTATCAGCATCTCTGACACAGCTGTTGATGACTGACTACGTCCTTACAGAGAACTAAATCCCTCATTCTTTACATCCCATTTGCGCTTAATTTTCACAGCTTCAGTTCCTTTGGCAACAGTAGCCCCTTTGGAGGAAAAACACTTGAACTGAATTTTCATGCCAATCTTCCTACACTGGCCAGGTTCACTGTTTTTTTTTTTTTTTTGGAGGGGTTGTATTTTGGTGATTTTGTTTGTTTTTTAATTAAGGGGCCAAATGGCACAGAAGATCTTAAAACACCAAAAATAAATCCTATGTTTTGGATCACAATAAAATCCTTCCTTCAGCACCACATGGAACTAGTTTTAAGTTTATTCCTCATGCATACATATGCAGGGTTAGACATATGCATTCACACGTGCTGAAATGAACAACCTTTAGACTTTGCTCTCTTCATAACTCTAGCTTATACACTATTATTTTAACATTATTAAAGTCCTTCCACATCAGACATTTAAAACTGTTCTACTTGTAATGTTACCTCCCAAGAATAAAGCTTCTTCACTAAAAGCATCCAAGAAACTAGCATTAAGCAAATACGTATCTTACTGTCATCTCATAAATCCTCTTTATACTGCTCTAAATTTTCACCATCTGATCCATGTACTAATTCAGTCTTAGAAAAGTAACATTAGAATTGTTCAAATGAGACTTGCACATTGCTAGGATGTTATTAGAACTCCAGTTCCTCCAGCACTGGGCTGGATGGAGAAATTGAAGGAACATGGTTAAAAATACTGAGCAGACCATCCATGGTCAGGGCTCTAAATCAGTATTTTTCTTTGAACAGTTAGGTTTTGCTTTTGTATGTTGCCAGGCAGAAAGTACTAGAGCTCATACTTACTCTCAATAACTTCTAGGATCAAAACCAATTTTTGAGTGTTAAAATGTGACACCCACTCCATGATAAATGCAACACACAATCCAGGCATCGTGCTAGGCTACGGTAACAGACTTCTAGTTGCACAGTTTTCAGAAAACACTAGGAGTGCACTGTGACACACAGATCTAATTTTGCTCTCCCACAGCCTGTGAAAATCTCTATGAAACCTCCATGAAAGTTTGAGAATCAGAAGGTTGTTGGAGAGGACAAGTTACAAAGCATGAGTTGAAGAAAAACAGGCAATAGATGTTCACACCAGCACACGCAGACCATAGCCTTATTTCTCATTGCCATTTAATGGCAATCTCCTCACACAGGTTTGCTGCCATATTAGAGTCTGTGGTAACATCTGTGACATCCTAATTTTTTTTTTTTTTTTTAAGGTCTCCACTGTCAGCTATGAAAAAAAGAGATTCTGACTCAAACCAGATTGAACTGCGCTACTGTGTGGCTTGTGTTGTTGTGTGTTGTTTTCTTTTTTTTTTTTTTTTTTTTTTTTTTTTTTTTTTCTCCAGACTATACCTGAACTACTGTTTTTAAGTTTTTGTTCAATATGAACTGGAACAACTTCAGTCAAAGCAGAAAAAGAAAAAACTCCTACTGGTTTCTTGCTGTGGAAAATGCATGTCAAGGATTCTGTTCTTCCCAGACATCACCAGCTTCCTATCATCCCAGCCATTTAAAGCTTGGATCCACAATAGAGAAGTGTTAGGTGCATGGCATTCTCCTGATAATAGCTACACCTTTAAGATGAAAAGAGCTATTTCTATCCTTTACAAACGTCTAGCTTAAGGAAAAGGTTACTGTAATGGGAACAATATCAGCTACAACTCTTGTGTACAATCCACCACTGAAGGGCCGGTCTCCTGGAAGCACCACTAAACTACAGCAGGGTAGTGCGTTCATAAAGAGCATCACACTCTCAGTACTGGATGTCTTTCAGCAGTACTTGACTATTAGGGAATTAGGGTGCCCTATCTGCTACTGCAGGGCACCCTACCAGCTCAAGTCACCTTTTTTTTTTTTCTTTTTTTAGGAGCTATGATGATTTTGTTTACTTTGAGACCATGTCTCTGCATATTTTCAGCTAACCAACGTTCATATTATACACCCAAAGAAAGTTCAAAACATACAGTGCATGTGTGTCAGCAGCAAGCAGTTCTCAACCAAAAATTTCTAGCCTACAGATCACCTCAAAGATTTCTCAGACATAAACACCTGGATGAAGTCTGACATCTGGAGTGAAACTTGGACGCTAAGATGCAGGAAAATATTGTGAGAAACTTGATAAACTGTAATGCCATCTTCAGCTAAGGAAGGTGACTCCAAATTGTCCCAGGGTCATACGCACTTGCAACACCCTTGGCTACCAGCAGATCAACAGGACCAAGAGTTGCAATATTCCCAGTATCTGCTGAGGAAACAGAACTGAAACTGAGTCACTGCATCACCTGAAGTTAAGTCCTCTACTGGTTCCTGAAATTATAGATGACATTGTACACAATATACTAGATGCCAATTCTAGAAAATCCAATTTAAACACATTATTTATGATCTAACACTAATCTACAGATGACAAAATCTCATCTTTGCTCCACCTAATTTGAATATTTACCTGCAAAACCGGAAAAGGCAAAGATGAAACACTCACAGAAAAGCACATAATTGATAAATGCAGAAGATACAGAAGATCAGTGAAGAGGCAATTCTCTTGTGCCAGTGCCAAAGGAAGCTTCTGGTAGTACACAAGGCTGTCCTGTTCCAAACATGTTCCAGGCTGCTAGGAACATTCAGTGCAATCCAACAAATTAAACATACATTTAAAAAAAAGTTCTTCTTATCGCAGTAGGAAGAGCACTGCATCTATTTAACATGTGCTTTGATGCAGTTTCTTTCCAGAGGGTATATCATCTTTAAATTAGCAAAAGAAAACCAAAACAGTCTTTGTAATACAAGATCTGAATTGACAGTCACAACACTTGCAAAGCTCTATTACAGCACTCCTATAAACTGACTGCCAAGTGATAACGTTCATGCTATCATGGCATTAAACTAGTGAAAGCCTGACCCTCAGACTACACCTGGGCTAAAGTGAGCCAGGGCTTGTTCACTGGCCCCTAATGCAAGTGGCTCTTGTCTATGTGGTTAAATTCTTGATACTCTCAGAACAAGAGGAGCTCAGCAATAGCATGCATTGGAATAGCATGCTCAGCAAGAGCATGCATGCCCCACAGAGGCTTCGTATGTCTCCCATGGCTAACCACTTAAGCGGTTAGATTCTTCTGTCACCAGCCCCACAATTACCTTGCTGTAATTTAAGTCTGTTAAATCTAATGCCATCCCTACTTCAAAAGGAAAAAAAAAAATCATTTGTCTGTTTTACCAATTTGCAATAGCATTTCAGATTTTTTGATATTTATCATACATGCCCTTAAGTCGTCTATTTGGAGTAGTAGTTTTGGACCCTTCTGGAGTAAACTCTTCCACTACCATTTTCAGTGTCTCCCCATGCTTTTTGAGCCACCTTCATTTTTTTCTTATCCTTCCCCACTTCATCCTACCTAGCACAATTGGCACAGAACCTAAACTGACTGGTAACAGTAACAGCCCAATATAAGCTTTTTTTTTTTTTTTTTTCCCCCCAAAATTGTCTAGCCAGGAAAAGTTCTACAAACTGTAGGGTGACATATCCAGGAGACACTGAGCATTTACATGGACCCAAATACTGTGTTTTGAAAGAGCTTTGAAAGCAAGAACCTATAGGAGAGCACAGTTTGTGGTTAAATAGAAAACTACCTTTAAGTTCTCCAAGCATTCTGTTGCCTGTCAGATACTAGAAAATCCACAGCATCTCCAAAATGGTATGCTAATTCATTAATTAATGCAGCCACATTCTTAAAGCTCAAAATGGTATTATTTCAGTACAGTTTACAAGATAGCTTCTTTCTGGCTCCACAGCCAGTGCTATTTCCCAGCATAATTAGAAGTCTACAGGCACTACCATTATAGTCATGTTATCAGTCTGAGCAATGTGCCATGAATGCAAAAACCAATTCTGAAACACAGAAATGTGCATGTCTGAAAAATGCTATCAGGACTTGCAAGACATTCTTAACAAAAAACATACTGAGGGCTACTGGAAGAAACGAGCAGCTTCTGAAGGAAAAGCTTGACTGATTATCTGAGATCAAGACATATGTAAAAGTTTAAGAAATTTGGTAAGGTTAAAAGAAGGAAGAAAAAAATGAAATCAACGTTTTTCTAAATGAAGCTTTCTATTAGACTTGTTAATAAACCTATTGGAAAACATGCTGTGCTGCAGATTTTTTGTCTTCTGGCATCTGTCCAAGTTTATAGAAAACACTTAACGTTTTCACAAGTATAATTCTTACATATGTGGATGTGCTCTTTTACTGCCACTGGTAAAAAACAGAATACATTTTTGAGTAAATTTTTTCTATTTATTTTTTATGTATTTCATTTAAAATGCTCTTAATTTCTGACAAGAAAAAAAAAAATCCCCCAAAGTAAAAGAGAGTTTGGGATACTTCTTCCTTGTCACCCTTAGTGAAGTCTTTCAGATTGCATTCCATCTTCAGCTGCATTTGTGCAACCCTTCAGGTGGACACAGTCAAAAACAAACACTGGGTCAAACACACTGATACTTAGTGATTTCAGACCCAGGAAAGAATTTGATCCTCACTAGTGTGATCCAACAAGTTTTTTGGGTTGTTATGTCTGTTTGTTTGGGTTTTTTTTTTTTTTTTTTTTTTTTTTTTTTTTTTGTGGCATTGGTTGTTGCTGTTTTGGGTTTATTTGTTTTTTACTAAAGTGCTTTCCCTGAATACATGCAAATTTTCAGAAATATAAGCCTTAGTATTGAATTTTTAGATAGTTAGCTAAAGGTTTCGTATGTAAAAGATGTAAACAAGAAGCACATCAACATTACTTTTAGCATTACTTTCATTACTTTAAGCATTTTAACTTGAGCTTGGTGTGGGATGTATATCTGCAATCATCAAATAAAATCAGTCAGCTACACTGAACATATCTTCACATTTCCCTATAAAACATTAAGTTTTATATTAAGCTGGCCAGGGAGGTTTTCGGAAGACAAAAAAAGCACAGCCTTGTTTTTTGATGGAAGTGATTGAACTGCCCAGGATCAGGGTATGAACAGTCGCAGCCAAACCGGTGCACCAGGGTCACCCGATTTGTACAGTACCAGGATAGTCAAAGTATGTAACTTATTGGCAGTTACTTACTTTAACTGGAGATATTGCATTGAGTAGCTATAGGTTTTTTTTTCCCCCCCCACACTGATCTTTGTAGTTTGGAGGGAAAACCAAACCAAACCAAAAAACCACCCCATGCTAAAAAATAGATTGAAAACCCCCAAAAAGGTGAAGGACATGCTCCAAGCAGACGTATCTAGAATGCAATGTGAACAAAACTGTTAAATGTCTGCAAGTTAAGTATTATGAATTCTTCCATTTTAATTGTTATAAAAAATTTCAGAAATAAACTGTTCCCTAACACACAGCATATGAGAACAAATGTTGAAATACACTTTCAAGTAGATGATAAAACTTAATACTTCATCATCAGAAAGCTAGTGGCTTTTACGTTTATAAAAAACTATTCCAAATAACATTATGACTAAAAGACAATCAATGCAAAAAAACATAGAACTTTGAATCAGTCTCCAAATTTGTTTTCTTGCTATTTGTCAAGTTAATTACTTAAACACAAGACTGTTTTCTTAATTAATATATACACTTATACAATGGCTTAAATTAAGGCATAATCCAACTGGCTGAAGTTTTCAGTAAAATGTCTCAGTTGCTTTTTATTAGTAATAATTGGTTCAGATGACTGCTGGCAATGGTAACATAGTCCATTAAAGACAATATTGAAAAACAGATCTCTTTAGTACTACTATCTTCCATTAGGGTGTTTTGTAAATTAAATGTAGTGCAGGCCTTTGGACTCAGGAAACACAGCATTATATCAACTTATCAGACAGGGCTTGAGGCTTTAAGCAGATGCTGGTAAAACTCTGATGCCATAGTGTGGTTTTACAGAAAGCCTTTCATATTCTAGAGAAAGAATACTACACACCCAATGTGATACAGATTAAAACAGAAGTTATCATCCAAAAAACACAGCGCAAACTTTTGGAAGACTTAGCCAAAAAGACAATGGCTGAACTTCAACAGACAGACATTAAAAGAGAGCCCTACAGAATCCAACACAACATGCCAACTGGAGCCTCTTAATTTAAAAGCATTGCCTCTGATCATGTCACTATGATGGTACTTTTGTAAATAACATTTTGGGCTCAAATACTCTGAAGAGTATTTCTTCCATTCAATTTGGAATCATATTGTAGGATCCTAGAATACTTCCATTTTCTATTTCACTTTTAAATGTGAAGTGTTTGAGGCTTTCTGGGATTGCAATTTAAGTGTGGAACAGACAACTCTTTAAAAGTCAAATGTTATTAGATGGAATAAATAATATGCAAATCATATTATCCCTCTGTGTGTACTAGAGCTGATGGACAAAATACTCAGTCATGTTATACAGAAAAATGCACAATTTCAGGAATATAAAGACTAGCTGTACCCCAAGAAGTTTTAAATTCACAAATGTAGTCCTTCGCAACGTCATGTAGCAAGAGGTGCAAAATAATAGGCTAGATCACAGCCTCATTCCAGAACCTGACAGGCCAAGCTTTGGCTACTCTTGGGACAAAGACAAAACATGACTGAGGCAGATAACTGGTTACCGAGCAGCAAGTAGCTTTAAATCACAACTTACTATAGCACCATATGTGCTCCCTTGGGAATGAAAACACCAGATTTTCTTCAGAATTAGAAATCGCAATTATATTCATTAAATAATTAACAGGTAGAAGCTCAAAACCCCAAACATATGAACTTTTACTGCTTTACTTTAACATTTTCTCATTAAGCTTAGTACAGTGCTACTACCCATTTTCTTACCCATTTGGCTTGTATTTTATTTCTAAAACATTAAACATTCTTAACATGCTTTTGCTTCCAGACAGCCTTCTGTGACAAACTTTATTTTTCAGAGACAGCTTCTAGAGTTCATATGAGTGCTTAGAAAGCTTCCTGTAGCTCCATTCATCCCACCTTTTAAACTACACTAGTAGCCAACCCAGGCACCTGGAATTAAAAACAAAGACAAAAAAGGTTAAGAGATGCATTTAATGCACCACTGTACTATAAATCCTTTCAGAGGCTGGTAATTTAACCATTCTCTGCATTTCCTGAATGTCAGTTTATACTAAAGCATATCCTTGTATCAATGGCTTTGACAAGTAGGGAAAAGTAAAGTAAAAGATGACGATAGGGAAAGTGCTAAGAAAACTACCAAGTTTTTCTCAACTAAGCATTGTAGCAGACTTGTTCAATGCTTTTCCTCCATGTTAACTTACACTATGCTAAAGCAGCAAAATAACCACACAAGCACAGAGTACTGTGTAAGTAAAGACACTTAATACATAGTGAAAATGGAACACTCAAAGGCATTCCCTAATAAAATGATCATTGAAATCCATACATCAGAACCCTTGTAGAGCACCATATTTCAGAAAGATGTTTTAAGTGTATAGCTGTACTGAAGCTGGAGGCAGAACATTCCTTGTTGGATTTGATGATCAGAGTCCCAGCGACGTTCCTCAATAAACGCAAACACTACTAAACCAGTCCTAAATACATACTGGTTTTATATGGATAAGTTTGTGAGGGAAAATAAGGAGTTCTTATCACATTGTTTATTCCAGCTGTTTTTGCTCTGCATTTAGGCATTTGTTTTCAAGGTTGTCCTTATTCTGACCAGCTGGTTCCTCACTCTGTGCAACAGAAATTTCTGACTGGTCCATTTTTGTGTCAGTATCAGCCAGCTCCTCTGCAGCTGAGGTGGGGCCATGCAGCTCCTTCACATGGAGGGTCGGATTGGTCATTTGCTCTGTGTCTTGCTGAGAGGCTGGTACATTGCTATCTTTGGGAAGCTCAGAACAGTTGACAGGAGCTATGACCAAGGGAGGCTGAGGTAGGTCTTTCTGTAAATAGAAGATCACAGTCAGAATGATGGAAAGCAAGAATTACTGTGTCCAGTTATCAGGAGTGATGGTCATACAAGATGAAGATTAAAGGTCCATCATCTCTGTTCTCATTCTCTAGTAGTGGACACATGCATACAGTTATCCTGTCTTTGTGTTTTATAGCACACAAGGCCATTTTTCTTCCAGAAATTTATTTAACTGCTTTCTGCCTGATCATTCCTCACCAATTTCAGATGTGCTCTGCAGGAACAGGCAAACAGCACTCTGGGATTTTGTCATGCTCTTGTTTTGGCCACCTTTATTATCAGTGTACAACAACTGGCAACTTTTCCATCACATTTCAGGTGATCTAAAATATTTTTCCAACAATTACATTCAGTTCTCTAAAGGGAAGTTGTAAAGGTTATCACAAATAGTTGACTAACAACATAAAACTCACTGCTGGGAACCTCGGGCTTGATAGATTAACCTTTCAAGTAGACATTAAAAATCTACAAGCATGCATCATGATAAAAATTACACCTTTTGGAATCAAATTAATTTCACTTGTACCACAGTGAAACAAAATGATAATTTATTATATTGAAGTAGATTTCTGCCTTCATAAGCAGCAGACTATGAAAAAATATGAGGAAAAACATAGCAAGGATATACTTTATATAATATTATTAAAAGCATGTTTTATTTAATATTTTACTCAATAATAATTTCATCAGTGATCAAATCAGTAAAATTATGGCAGAATCAAGAAGGATAGACAAGATCTACTTTACTTTTCACTAGTCGGTTTAAGGGGTCATAAACATTAAAAAAAGAAAACCTTGCTGAAGCAAAAAAAGCATGTAAAAAAGCAAACAGTTAAGCAAAACAAAAATCTTTGGCTTTGTTTGATAATACTGCAATATTTTACTCAACTTTAATTCTAGTTAGGTTTTTATAATATTAGTATTTCTTGAAGACACTCATATCAAACTGGTATTCACCGCAAAGCCGCTGCCTGTCCAGAACATTGCAAACTCCTTTCTCCAAAGAGCCACACCAAAGCTTGTGAGAAGAGTACAGGGCACCAAGTAGAGGAGAGCGGGCTGGCCCATCTGCATCAGTGCCAAGGCAACAAAGGTCACAAGAAGGCCTATGCCATATGCTGGAAGGAAACAAAACCATCAAAACCCCATTATTCAGATATAGTTCTGCTTAAGAACAACTAAGTAATTAGCTAGATGAGCATCCTACCAGGAACTTTTTTCAAGTAATATGTAAAACAACATACCCAGAATTTTTTCAGGCCTCTTTAGACACAAGCATTATATACACAATGTAAACATGGAACAGTGCATTACTCAAGTGAGATAGTACAGTCTTTCTATAGATAATAACATGTTGTGAAAGTAGTGTGATCGGCCTAGTCCATACTGTGTAATTAAATCATTACCTTAAACAGTTTGAGAAAGGCAAAATAAACAAATGAGATACTGTGTCTTGTATTTATGAATTCAACAGTTACAGACAATTATTTTGACCACTATAATATGTGGTTCTTGTCTCATTTGGCTTTGGTTGCTTCTTATTATCCTGCAACACCACTAAAAAGCCCCAGAAAACAAGCCAGGTATGTTATAATTTGTTATTAATTTCTATTTGATCTCTTCATATATTCTGCAAAATTACTAAGTAGAACAGAAACAGCTAGGATCTTATGTTGCAATTATTTTCAGTTACATTTTCAGAACAATGAAGTACAATACAATGGATTTCTATTCAGGAACCAGATCAAGATAGAGGTGCTGGACTGTGTCCAAAGAGCAACGAAGCCGGTAAAGTGTCTAGAGCACAAGTCTCACGAGGAGCAGCTGAGGGAACTGAGGTGGTTTAATCTGGGGAAAAGGAGGCTCAGGGGAGACCTTATCCCTCTCTGCAACCACCTGAAAGGAGATTGTAGCAAGGCGGGGGCTGGTCTCTTTTCTCAGGTAAGAAGTGATGGGATGAGAGGGAACAGCCTCAAATTGTGCCAGGGGAGGTTTAGATTGATTATTAGGAAAAACTTATTCACCGAAAGGGTTGTCAAGCACTGGGACGGGCTGTCCGGGGAAGTGTTGAGTCACCATCCCTGGAGGTATTGAAAAGACGTGTAGACGTGGCACTTATAGACATGGTTTAGTGGTGGAATTGGCAGTGTTGGGTTTACTGTTGGTCTCTATGAGCTTAAGGGTCTTTTCCAACCTAAATGATTCTACCATCGGAATACTTCCTACAGTTCTTAAAAAGTCTTTTTCAGGTTACATTATGTTATTAGTGAAAGCTCCTTATATCCAGTTGAAATATTTCTTCTTGTGACTTAAGTCCATTGCCTCACACCTTACCCCTGCGTACCTGTAAGAAAAGTCTGTCTCTGTCTTCGCTGCATCCTCACATTACATAGCTGTGGACAGCAACAGAATCTCCTCTCTGCCTTCTCTTCTTTTAAAATCACATGCTCCAGCCCTCAGGCATCTTGATGGCCTCCATGGGATTTACTCCAGTATGTCAATGTCTGTCTTGCACCAGGGATCCTGGTTAAGACTCAGTCTCAACTGACAAATTGTGGGGAATAATCACTTCTCTTACACTGTTGCATCAATCTTGCTAACACAGCCCTGTATGTGGTTAGTTTTCATTGCTGCATTAGTACACTGCTGACTCTTCATTGATACATTTTCCTATCAATTTCTGTAAATGTGTTTTGAAAGTGCCAGGTAAAACAACAATTTCTTTTAAGTATGTATACGAGGAAATTATTTAAGATTTGGTATAGTGAAATAAAAGCATCTCTCTAACTCCGCTGTAATAAGAACGTAGCTATTTTTTCAAAAGAATTTCTAATGCAGTTGTTCATGAAAATTTTTTGTGACATTAACTGCAGTCATCTGAGTCTTTGCTAGCATAAATATTTTGTAACAAAGAAATTTGTAAAATCCTATTCATCAGTCATCTTTAAGTCCATGGCATGTAACTGTGGATTCCACAAACTGAAGAAGAAAACTAATTTAGAGGTCTTACAGCCATCATAATACAATTCATTGCACCATAGGTCACGGGTTTTTAGAATACACAAGAAGTTAAGAACAAAGTCAAAGGAAGATGTCCCTGAACCTGAATTCTCATATGCAATAAACTCAAAGATTCATGAATCAAAAAACCAGACTGAGTAGCTAAGCATGTATAAAGATAGTGTAGATGTTAAGGGTTTTAATGAGACAAACCATGGTAACAAGAAGCTCCCCTTATTTATGGCAGACAAAGCAGCTCAGGAAAATGACATCAGATAACTTGGTGATGGAAGGTCTAGCCTCAAAAGTACTTTGCTAAAATATTTCTGTTTAGTAATAAAAGGAGGAGGAGAATAAAAGACCAAACTATGTAATACACCATTGATGGTATGCTTTTAAAGGGAGCAACTTCTGTAGGTATTGTGTTCAGGTGTCACTATTACACGTACCTATTGTGCAGGCTACAAAATAGACTCTGGATGACTGCACCTGAATATCAAATCTATGGCAATAAGCTACCAGTAAGCCTAGGAAAGGAAAGAACAATTACAACATGCTTTCAACCCACTCACACATTAAGATACACAAAACTATCAGATTATCTAGGAACTTTTAAGATTTATTTATTTTTTCCAACACTTACTTGGACATCGTAGTGTTTCAGTACTATGACAGCATCATTCGGGAGGTTGCACAGCTTACAAAACAGTTATATGATAACACAAGCCCAGGACAACAGCAGCACTCTAGTAATAAAATTCACATCTACACATACACAGATCCTAGATACAAAACATTAACCCATCCCTAATAAACAGTTGTAAAAATACAGTGTTCACAACAAGAATAAATTAATCCCTTCCAGCTCCTAGTAAAGAGAGTAGAGATTTATGGCAAATGACTATGCCTATTATAGGTTGGGCAGAGGAGGGGACATGGATGGGGATGACAGTTCATATTTCACAAAATAAAAAAAAAAAAAAAAAAAAAAAAATGATTTCTTAGAAGAAATCTGAAAGCCAGAAGGTGTATACTTGTTTTTGCCTGTAGTGGTGCCAGGCATACTTCTACATACTATCGGAAATCAAGTTTGAGAGAAGGTATGTAGAAACACTGGATGTTGTATAACTAACAAAATCATGAAGTTTAGAGTGGTCAGGTATGTGAGTACTCAAATCATATGCAAATGGACAAATAATTTCCTCTATTAAAGATGTTTTATACTATAAAATTAGTTGTTAAGTCAACTCTTGATATTTCTCTACATTTCTTGATATCACTGCATATGCAGCTGAACCATAAGCATGTGCATTTAATTGCCTATGGAAAAAGAGAATAGTGCAGAAAAAAAGAACATAAAACACACACTTACAAATTTGTCAGGTTTAAAGTAATTAAATCAAACTTTCTACTTGAAACAGAAGTGCAAGCGGAGTAAACTAATATGACAGTGCAACAAGTAAAATTCTTACCATGCTAAACAAGAAATACCTGGAACTAGAATGTCTCCAAATCCTAGGAGAGAAAAAGGCCTGTCACACAGAGCCAATGGTGAGGAGTTCAGTCGTGGAACCTTCAGGACCATTGGGAGCTTGGAACAAGAGACACATAGGCCTTATGAAAAGCTGTTTTCTCTATATACTGACACCATCTACCAGAACTTGTTCCTGTTGAACTGAAACTGCAGACTTCAAATAGAGCAAATGTATTTTTTTTAACATTATATATTCTATTCTTATGTTTAAAATGTTTTATTAATATTACTGACAACTAACATTTAAGATTGAAGTGATGAAATACTTTCTTAAAAAACAAAACAAAACAAACAGAAACAAAAAAAACCACACCAAAACAAAACAAAAACCAAACAAACCAGACAAGTTAACTTTAAATGACAGACATCTCAAAACAGTATATTAATTTCAAAGTCCTCACATGCAGCAAGGTATCAATGCTGCTTTAACTGCAGGAATGTAAAAAATTTATGTAGGCTGCCACATGCATAAGAAATAAACTAACCATTTAGACTTCATTCTGTTGGTTGCAATAAAAATCTCAAAAGTGTAAAGATGAATAACTTTTAAAAAAGTGATTTTTCAAATAACTTTGAAGACTTCTCCCCCCTGCCAAGTATTCCTATTTATTAAATAATTTGCAAAGTTGAGGCATAGTACATTTCAGTTCATTGCAAACACGGATTCTCCTTAATACACTAAAGAAACCTTTTTTTTTTTTTTCTTATGTTAGTGCCAGAATGATTTTTTCTATTTATACTATCATTATTGTTTTATACAATTCATTTTGTGCATAAAACTGAAACTAAAGGGGTAAAAATAAAAGAACACAAGAAGCTAAAGAAATTAGCATGGATTGTATGGATTGATCCCCCATAGTTCATCCTGCAAACAACTATTTTCTTTACTATTTTCCAATGCGACAGTAACTCATTGCTGAAAACAGAACCAAAATCCTTAAATTAACAAAGCCATTTTTCTTACGGATTTATTTCTTATTTGTTTTGCATACTATATCTCACCATCTCCTACATCTCATGTACTTTCCTTCCCAAGACAGCCACATCATGTTGCACAGCTCTGTGCATACAGCCAGCTGCTGTCAAACAGTACAGAACCACTGAATACTGAGTCATTTTCTTTGTCTCCAATTCATGTTTATCTCCTTTGCCTATAGCCTCAGCTTTCCATAAAGCAATTATCAAAATACGGTAGGAGGGGGCAGAGAGAGGTTAATCATATAAGTTTTATCTCTTCAGGTAAAAATGGATATGCTTCATTAGCAGTAAATTATATTTACAAATGTGGTCACATGTTTTTGTGAAGCTGAGCTAACCAGCTTCCTTATACTGATATCCTTTTCAAGCAAGATAAAGGAAGACCAAAGTTGTTGTGACGAACCACTAAAAGTCTGCTTTGCCCCCCGTGCTTTGTGCAGATTTCCAGAGAACACAGGCGTGCTTATTTCCACATTAAACTATTTTCAGACTGGCATCTCCATTTCAGCTTTGTGGTCTTTGAATTTTAGAGAAGTTGAAAGTGTAAGATCTGAAAGTTAGTGCCGTATTTTCAGACTACATACAGTACCTTTTCATGAGTGGCAGAATCAGATGGGCCTGCAGCCACCTCCACCATTATACTCTCCCCGGTCTAAAGAAAAAAGGGGAAAATTGTAAATCAGCACTTCACTCAGCAGGTTTATGATCATTTAGGAACACACAGAGAAACAGGTCATTACACTTTGCTCTGTGAGCAGCAGGCACTAGAGAAGTACTTTACTTACCTTTGTTAGAAAAGGTGTGATAAATACAAAGAATACATCATACACAAAAAGAACAAGGAGCAGCAAGGTACAACCCTGAAGGAAGAGATAAGATACTTATATTTACATACTATGCATTAGTAAACAGGAAAGATTTAATCATTAGCAACTTAAGACAATTCAAGGCAAAACCTAACAAGGACTGAAACAAGTCACCCACGTATTTTCCTTAATTCCTAAATATTTTAGATGGAGGAATTGGGTCTTGCATGCACCATATAAAACAAAGTAATTCTTAGACACAAAATTACACGTTAGTCCCTAAAATTCTTTATCATGTAAAATCTGGAAATGGTGCTGTTTCAATTTGTTAGCAAATATTAAGAAGTTCTGCATTTTCTGTGGACGATGGTAGGCATAGATTGAAACTGTATCCACATTACTTGGCCAATCTGTACAGGAAAACAAGTTTATAACTGAAGAAAACCTGAAACAGAGATTGAAGAGCTGCCCAAGGGGCAACTAAATGACTAACACTGATTTTTATGTTAGGATACTGAATAAGTTCTGGAAGATTTGAAAGAACACCAGAACGATGCATCATTTGTGTGTCAAATTCGATAAAAAAAACCCCAACAAGCACCAAGAAAATCCCCAAACCACCCAACAAGTGACTGTCTGCTGTGTGATTTACTAGTAGTCAATACTCTACAGAACTTTAAGTTACCAAACACCATGCATAATGATCACACTACACTTACTGGTCTACATTATAACTCATTACATCACTCTTTCCCAAGCTATGTATGAATGGAAGTACATTTCCAAGCCAATATACTCCATTATAAGTGGCTCCTGTGTTCAACTACATACAGGCCAACATCCCCTTTTTACATCTGTTTAACTTTCATACCTTAAATGTAGGCAGGCGAATTGTTTTCAACATGTAAAGACAGAAAGCGATTCCTAAAGCATCTTGCAGAACCCAGGCCCACCTAAAGAGAGTAACATTTTTGCAGGAAACAATAGGAAAGCCAAACCAAACCAAGCCTTGTCCTCACCATGGGCCTGCCTAGGACAAAAAACTTCATTAAAAGGACTTGTTTGAAGTCACTATTATTGTCAGCATGGATTTGCGAAGGGGCAGTTGTGCTTGATCAACCTGATAACCTTCTACAATGAAATGACTAGTTTGGTAGATGCAGGAAAAACTTGGAGATATCATCTATCTAAACTTCAGTAAGGCTTTCCACCAACAATCTTCCATAAGATCCTCAGAGAAACTGATGAAGTATAGGCTGAATGAGCAGACAGTGAGGTGGATTGAAAACTGGCTGAACAAGGTCAGTGGGTACCAAAAGAGGAAGTGCTGGGGTCCTTCGGCTTCTGTACATGTACACCCTCGTGTGCCGAGGGAAGCCTACAGCTGGAGCTGTTTCTTGATTGTGTTTTGCAGGTTAGGCATAGAAGTACCGCTGATCAAAAAAAAGTAAGATTTGAGATAGAAAACACAAAGGTTTCCCCAAAATCACTAAGGTCTAGATGCAAACGAAGGATTATGCTGTTGTGATGAATACCTGAGCTCTTGCTGATGGAACTTTGTGCAGTAGACACTGAGATCCACTACAGCTTTGAGGCAGAAAATGGATTTCCTAGTCCTAAGTAACCCAGGTTGGAATAGCTTTATAGTACTTCTGTACTCCTCTGTCTGACACTGATTTCTCTAAAAGGTGTTTCAGAATTGATGCTTACTGGATTTATGAGTTCTGTCAGTGTATGATCCACAGCCTTAACACAGAAAATGGACCCCGCAAAGGCAATAACAAGCATTCAAGGCACAAGCAAGACATCTTTGGTACCATCAGCAGAAACACAAGCTAGCATTTCAGTTCCATCACAGAATCCCTGAGAGAGGGACCAAGAAGGTGAACACAGCATGTATATATGGGGAAACTGGAACATCTGAGAGTGAGGTAAGGGGTAAAAGAACCCAAAACAACAAAAATCTCATAACAGAAGTGGTAAGAACATGCTACAATTAGGTACCACAGCAATACCATACATAGAGAATTATTTACTCATACCAGAGAGCTGAGAGAAACTTGAGATCTAAATCTTATTCTCTCTGAGCAAATGCATATGCAGACCATGAAGAAATAAATTAAACAACTTGTGTCCAACTTTTCATACCACTCCTGAAAAGCTATCTTAAGCCAAAGAGATCAGAATACAGACTGAGACTCGGAGAAATTCAAGATTAAAAAGAGACAGTTTTCTGTAATTTAAGCCAACAAGACAAAGATGAAGTACACAAGGAACACAAAGAATTTTTGCCCAAGTCTCTAGTTTCTTTCCTGTCATTCCTAAATTCTGGATAAGTTTAGGCATCTACTGATGTTAGTTACTGGTACTATAAAGCATATCACAATTTCTAGCATAGAAACTAAAATACACACTTACTGATCTTCATTTCTGAAGATTCCCCAGACTGTGCTGACAGAGATACAAAATACTGCCAATAGCAACATCCGGACCTGTGGACGCTTGTGAAAATAAGGCAAGTTGTTGGCTGGGATTCTGAAAAATGAAACACACCAAAGCTACAGTGTCTGTGTAGTTACCCTTCTCCTTTATAACCATTTTCAAGTATGAAATCACCTTGTAAATCCAACGCCTACCCAACATTATAAAAAAATTAATTTTGCCTATTAAAATTTTAGAAGTTGCCACATACCTACACTTTCCCAGGGGGAATCTTCTTACAAAGGGAGACAGACAACTGTAAAGACCAATTGAAGCAGCCAGGCAGAATATTCCTATGATAATATAGACTGAAAAAGAAAAAGTAGTAAGTCCAAGTAGGATAAGGTAAGAGATGCTTTTTTTCATATCCTGGCTGAATAACAAACAGACAATCAAAAATCTTGAATGAGAAATAAGGCTTACATTTCACTAGTGGAAGTTAAGTTCAGAGACTTGAAATGATTGTTGATAAGATTTATGCTCTAAGTATCTAATTCTAACTCATTTTACTCAGGTGTACTTTATGTGATAGCAACTTCAACAAATCAAAACATCTGTGCTAATATTCTTAAAGTAAGTCATTAAATAATGAGCCTAAAAGGCAATGTATGGTGAAGTGTTTATATTCTCATTATACGTGAGCATTATAAGGGAACTCAAAATCACTCAGTAGCAAAATGAATTAATGCAGATGGGATGCATCTTCCTCAGAAATAGGATAGAAGTCCCAGTGCATTAGGCTCTCATGTTTTTTGTCAATCAATTTGATAAGTGAGCATTAGAAACTTATAATCTTGATAAAGATAAAATACTGACCCCAGATCCCATAACTTAACTTCAAATTGAATAACAGTAGAAAGCTAAGTATAGGTTTGAGAACACCTCTGACAAAAATAAAAGGTGGAAGACATTAAGTCTGTATCTACTTAATAGGCTTTAATGTTTGAGAGAATCTCTGTGGTCACCTAATCCAACCTCACTAAAAATAGGCATAGAAATCTACTTGGTGGGTTTTCTTACAGGGTTTTAAATCATACTACGATGAAGAAACATGGCAGAAGACAGCCGTTTCATAATTATTTTCACAGTAAAATGTTCTTTAAATGATGGCAGCCTATTGAAGATATATCAATACAAATACAACTTTAAGAGTACCTAAGTGGTCATAGAAGAAATAAAGGAGGACCAGCATTGAGCAGCACATCACTACAAATACACAGATCATTACTGGAGTCACATCAACCGTTTCATCATCATGTTTCTCTGCCCCATCATCACGTTTATGCTTCATGTACCGCCTGAAAGAGTAACATAGCTATAATCAGTCCATTCCTTCCTCAACAAAATATAAAAGGGCATTGAATCTTCAGTGAGAACTACATGGGGTTGGAAAACATGACATGGCACCAATGCCTGCATTGATTTCCACTCAAGTCAGTGGAACTCCACATTATAACTGATGTTCATACATCCATGTAAAACACAATGCGTAAAACAATAAACACTGCATTAGTTTATCAAGAGTACTATTTTTCATTCACTAAGAACTCAGAATCCTAAAAATTACAACAGAATAATTTGCTGACTCTAGAAGAAAGCCTAAAGTCAGGTTGTGTATATAAAGTAAATGTTAGAAATAAGTGTGGCACAGATGGCCTCCTCCCCACAACTCCACTTACTGGCAAAAAGTAACCATCCAATTTCAATAATCATATCTTAGGCATTTAATCAGTTTGTCTTGCACTATATGAGTAAAACCAATTTTTATTATTTTTTTCAAAATATTTTTATGGTGAATTTTTGCAAAAGCTCAAATAGGAAGTCTATTACTATCCAATTTTCCTTCTAATCTTTTCATACGTTTGGCTTTTTGACAAAACAAACTACTAAAACACTCTCCATGCAAATTATACTTTAATAATTTCACACAGTGACTAAGCCTGTACATGGTTCAGGGCCCTTCAAATGTCACATCAGCATTTTCCCATTCTGGTTATATAGTCTCCACATTTCATTAGCAGAACTACCTGGTATCTTTAGATAAATACCATGTTTGGGTTTTGTTGTCTGTGAAAAATACAAGAAAACTGACACACTACATTCCAGTTACTCACTTTTTCACATCTCTGCTTCCTGCCCAGTAGCCTCCAATTGCAACAGTCCCCACAGCCATGACAAATATAATCACCATGTTATAGTCTAGCACAGGCTCATTTGGTGCATACATTGCCCCTTTCACTGAGCTGCCGAAACTCTGCAGAGGTAAGTACAAGTTATGAAGAACTTCCAGAAAGCTACCTTAGCAAAGGTTCAGTTATTTACTTTTCACTAAGCAACCTCAGATTCAAGCTTTATTACAAATACTTAACAGCAATCTATTGGCTCAACTGTTCATGATATTTACTTCCAGCACCAGGCTCCATTTTGATTTTATTCTGTAGATGAGAAATAACCTCTTAAGGTATTTGCATTTTTTTTCCCAAAACATAGTAATACAAACTTCATGAGTAGAACACTCTACAGATTCAAGGCTATTAAGATGGACTTCAAATACTGTTGAGCAGTGACTCATTTAAGTGAGATAACATAAATCAGAGCATTTAGTGTCAAGTTTACCTTGCCAATATCTAACATATCAGCATAGCTGAGCAGAGCCACAGGAATATCAATCTCTTCATACTGACTCCTGTTGCCCCCAGGGGGAACCTGAAAGACAGTTCAGACCGGGTAAGAAATATTAATTTCTGCCAACACTTCTATACTTCAAAAGGGTTAAAGTTGTAAGTTTTGTTTCTGTTAATTTGGAAAATATTCTACAAAGGAGCATAATGACAGCAAAAACTCAAAGTCAAAATGTATGCCTGTTTCCAGTAAAACGTAAGTCATTATAGACTCTAACAGCAAAATGCAGCAACCAGACTTCAAGCAGCATCTTTTGAACATCAGGGTCATGGTTTTATGAGTGATGCGTGCCTCTAATATTGACTACAGTACTCAAAACCACTGATTTTACAAAACATACAATGGTGATGGTCCAGCCGAACCTAAAGCATCAGATTCACTGTGCTCTAGATTTCCTTGAAGGTAGCAGTATGAGTCAAGAAACCAACCTCTTTCTTTGATTCCAGTATTTAATTTCACAAGGATAATTCTGACTTGAATGTTACATGAGCTCTCTGCACCACTCTTCCTACTAAAATTAGTTTTTTCATGAGTTTCTTGTTTCCTTAATCCTTCCTTCAGATGTATTATTTCCACACATAGCTATGCAATGTATGTACATGCATAAAAACACACACACACATATATAATTAAAAGAGGAGCATCAAATACCAGCAATGAGCACTGAAGATGATACCTAACATCAGAGTATAAGCAATACAGAAAGACAGAAGGAGACTTACCAGTCTCTCTCTACTAACAATCAGCAGCCCACGAGCTCCATTTATCTGAGCAAGCCTCACTTTCTCATAGAAGGTGCAATTCCCACGCATCACCATGGGGATTTGATTATTAAATCCCCCATCAGGTACATCAGAAGGGGAACACAAAACAGATCCTGTCTGATCCTGTAGGTGCAAGAGTGACTGAAAAGAAATAAATTAGTTAAGTACATATATATAAAATTATAAAAGAAGTCAAGAGCAGAAACCGCAGAATTTCTAAAGGGCAATTTAGAACTTTCAAGTAAAGGAGTAATATAGTATACTCAGAGAAACTTGAAAGCTGAAACAGTGTTGCCCTCTCTATTAAGTAGGGTCCTGCCTTGCTTCACCTTATTGTACAGAATTCTACTGGTAATAAAATTTGGGTTATGATCTGCACTTGTATTTGTTTTTTTCAGCACTGCTGCATGTATCCAGGATGAAGGAGTACAGCAAAGTGTTATAATTCTAGGGTGGCACAGAGCGACAGGCTGAGATGATGGAGTGTATAAACAGCCAGAAACAAAAATCACAGGCTAGGGTAAAGTACAAAAACATGGGCAACAAAAATAAACTTCCATTTTGAAACCAACCATATCCAGTTAGCTGAGATTTTGCATCCTAAGAATCTGTATACTGGATTCTAAGCTGCTTGTCTCACTGCTTGTGATTCAGAGATGTTTCAGGCCTGTCTCAGTTCCTTAGTTTTGACCCTCAGATTGAGAGACTTTGGTATGTTTACACAGGAACAGCTCAAAGACACTTCCAGGTTTTAGAAATAACACTGGCACAAGTTGTTCCTTGTAACACCTAAACAGCAAGTATCTTTGCCCAGTTCTATTTCTAAGTCACCTGAAAAATGCAGTTACCTATCAAATAACTGATTCTTGGTGTGAGCTGTGCTAACAAAAGTAGGTCACAACCCCACTCTTGCCAGGAGTTAAGCTGTTGGGTTTGCAAAATGTCAGGATAAAGTTTTAACCTGAAAAGCTGACGCATGTAACACTTTGTATCAGAAATACACAGGTACCTGATACGATACTAAATACCTGTATAACTGACTCTACTGTTTTAGGAGGCAAAGGTAAGAATCAAACTGTCAGTAGCTCCAAGCTTATTCAGAAAACTGCTCTCTCCAACCCGGGTCCTACTTTAGAGACAGTAAAATGTCTCTACACACACTTCCAGGTTGACCAGCTTTCAGGAAGCTTTCCTGAGTTTTTTCATCAGCTCAGAACACAGATGCACAGTGAGCTCAGGTCAGTGCACTGCATCACCTCATTTAATAAACTGTACTGCTGTACTGAAGGGAAGGAGATGGAGGGAGAATGTGAAAGAAGGGAAAGGCTGAGGGAGAGTTAAGGAAGGAAATGGATAGGCAAGGAACATAGCAGAGGCAACCCAAGTGCTCTGTGGAAAGTAGATCAGAACCTCTTGAGTGCTTCAGTTTCAGTTCACTGCAAGCTATTATGGCCTATATTAGCTCCTGCAGAGCTACTGAAATATGTCTCCAGTGACTTTTTATTAGACTGGTTGAAACAAGGTATCTACAGTACAGTCCCCAGCACTCACAAATCCTAGAATCTAAAATGCTAGAGACTCTGTGGGAAGTCTGCCTGGATCCAGTTGAACAACACCCTAAGCCTCTCAAATCAGCTTCATGCACTTCTGCGTTCCCACTCCTGCTGTTGAAGCAAAGGGATACAGTGCATACGTGAGCTGACTTCATGTTACACAGTTAGGTCAAGGGCAAGAGTTTATTAGCTGAGTGTACACAAGGCAAAGGCAGCTGCCACATCTGAGCTATCTATGTATCTAGGGAGTAATATGCAGTTTCGATAAACCCACCACAGGTAATTAAGACCTGATTATACGTTGATAAGGAACATTAATAATTCTGTCTGTGTAGCACTCAACTGGTAGATCAAGGAATACAATGAATAAAATGAACAGAACTCCACATCTTCCCCAATTAGCAGCACATTCAAAGCGCACTTGCTGATTTCATCATTCAGCAACAGTAACTTTTTCCTCACAGAACAGACTGAAGAATTGACTCAATTGTCAGCTCATACAGCTTTGGATAATGACGCAAAAGCTTGATGCAGTTTGTGACTACTTATTCTTACACTTGACAGAACTATGAACCACTGAGAAAGCACTAAAGGTCACAGTTCAATGTATTAGCAAGGTCATGTGTTATCTTTTTGTATCATACTGACACACAAACACTCCTTTCCAACCACAGGTAAGTGCCATTTTCATTTATTTGATCACATTGTGCAAAAGGAAAATTTTTGAACTAGAAACAGTCATTACCTCTGAATGCTGCCTGGAAAAAAATATATTCATCATAGCACTGCATAGGCTGATCTTAACAGATAAAAATACTTTCTAGGTAGAGCAAAGTAGTTGCTTCAAATTCTACTAATCCAAGTTAGAAATTAGAAGTTTCCCTGTAATAAAGACATTTTTAAAGACATTATTCTGTCATTGCTTGGCTAGGTACTTACAGCTTTACCCAGATCATGTGGCAAATGGGCCCACTGAGAGTTGAAGAGGATACAGTAATCTCTTCCTTTGATGCTTCCCTTCTCTGAAAGGACATGTACCATCCCATACTCACAGTACACCTGAAAACATAACAAAAATTTCATTACAAGAATTTTAGGTCACATGAAATAGCAGAAGTGATGGGCCTAACTTGCTGTTGGCTAGACTGCTTTGTATCTCAAAGAAAACCAAAAGATTCTACAAAGTTTCAATATTTGTGCAGGGAGCACGGTGGTATTTGTTATTATGTCCATCATAATTCAAAAACTTTGGATATTTTACGCAGATTCCCTTCCGCAACAGGGACCCCTCGGAGAGTCGGCTGAGTAATGACAATCACACCGATGCGGCTACATGTTGTCCCCCTTTATTGCCTGAATCACTTGGTTACGCCCCATACCCCTTGATTATTGGTCATAAGCAACTTATCACACACCCAAAGGGAAACTGTGATAGGCAAGCATCTTGCTGTTTGCTGCATATTTGTGCTTTGCTTAGCCAGATACATAGCTGGGAAAATTCCTCATTTATCTTTACTCAACAGATACAGTTCCTCACAACACAGCCCTTCAAGGTCATTCTCATAACACAGCTGTTGTTAGCAGTCTGATCTCAAGCCTGGATTGTCCAAACTTTGCAAGAAAATATCGTGGCCATTCTCCATCAGAAATTCTTCTACGTATCCCCCTTTTTCTTTTTGGACAATCCAGACTTGAATCATGACCTTTGTCAGCCCTTTTCGTATACATGAAATACAAAGACAGACAGCTAAAAATATAAGCAGATAGTAAATAAGCAAGCAAAGGCCTTCTTTTAATAAGCTAGCTACCCATCCACTGATTACAAGACGTTGCTGTGGTCGCTGATTTAAATCAAGTGTTAGAAACACATCATATCCTGTTGACCCAAAACCTGTGTCTCCTCGAATATCGGAAGGGCCCTCCGGAAGTGATTGATGCAAGGGAAGTTTTGGCTCTAAAGCAACAATTTGAGCAATTTTACTACCTTTTGGAACGGCTACCGGTGGTTGTAATGCATATGCCACAATTTGGATTTGACCTGTGTAATCTGCATCAATGACACTAGGGAGCACAACACCACCCTGCCTTCCCATGGATGATCGACCAATTAATAACCCACCCACTGGGGAATCTCTAGAAAACAAAGCTCCATATGCTGTGGTTGGTATAAGTGTCACAGAAGTACTGGTTAATGTGGTCTCCACTGCTGTTGCCACATCCACTCCGAGGCTTCCTGGGGCCGCTGGTGTGTGGTTGAGTAGGAAACCTGGGGGGTTGAGACCTGGACTTGTGTCGTCGCGCGAGGTCCCTTGGCGCTATGCCTGCCATTTCCCGACTTTCTGCAGGCCATAGTTGCATGAGTATCTGTATTGCAGGTGTGGCACCAAACAGGCTTGGTGCATCTATGTTTCCAACGACCTGTCTCACCACAACGATAGCATGCACCCGTGGTCTGACTACTTTTAGCCAGCTGCCTCTTTGGCCGTCCTCCACTACTTCTCAACGCAGCAGCCATTGCCGTTAATGGTTGATGAAGAGTTTCCTTCATGGCTGCCGAGAAAGCTGCAGCTTGGTTCGGTTGCTCAGCCTGAGATGTTAACAGTAACATGTCATCTACCCCTGATCCTTGTGGAAGTGTGGCTATTAGGCGCTTGGTGGTTGCATTACTATTGTCAAAAGCTACTGCGCGGAACAACTGTGTCTGCATGCCCCCAGTGAGTTCCGGAGCATCTTTCAACACCGCATGGAGTCAGATGACAAATTGGCTAAATGGTTGTCTTGGTTTGGGCTGGAATAGAGTTAATATTCCTTTTCAGGGACTAGATGAGTGCTGTGTTTTGGATTTAGCTTTGGGTTTGGTATGGGAAGAATGCTGACAGCACACTGATGTTTTCAGCTGCTACCGAGACTTCAAGGACTCTCCGACTCCCCATGTCCTGCCCGTGCGCAGGGGCACAGGGAGCAGGGGGGGAGCACGGCCACAGCACCTGACCCGAACTGGCCACTGAAATATTCCATATCATGGCACGTCATGCTCACTGTATAGAGGAGGGGTGGTTAGGAAGGAGCTCTCTCGCTTCCAGGATTGCAATTGTGGGATCTTGGTATCTCGGGGTCGCTGGCCGGGAACGGGCTGGGGATTGGTCAGCGGGTGGTGAGCAATTACGTTGTGCATTGCCCGTTTATATATTTCTTTTTGTTTTCCCCCATCATCGTCATTGTTCTCGTTTTATTGCCATTATTAAACTGTTCCTATCTCAGCCTGCGAGTCTCCCTTCACCCCTCTAATCCCCTCCCCCATTCCCAGCTGGGGAGGGGGAAGGGAGGGTGACCAGCTGCGGTTCAGTGGCCCCCTGTCGCACCGTTACATACGATGGTGCTTTCTTCTTATCTGGTACTGCTAACAATGCATGATGAGCCAATGATTGTGACTGCTGGTGGACCGGAGTTGGCAGAGCTAATTGAGCAGCTGTTGTCAAATACTGTCTGTCCCCAATTAGCATCTGAGCTGTCACTCCATATAGTGCATCTCCCTGTTGTCAGGGAATACTGGTTTCTGGTACCGCTAGTCTCTTCCACTCTCTTTCCCACCGCAAACATTGTGATGGTGATAGAAGCAGTGATGCTATCTGCTTACTGTCATTTGGACATAAAACATCAGCTGTAAAAATGAACTGTATAATGTTTCTCGCTCTCTCAGATTGTAGCCCATAAGTGGTCACAGTTTGTTTGGCCTGGTTCAAGATTTTCCAATCATGAGGTTCCCAATTAGGTCCCCCATTCGTTGTCACTACTGGGCAGGCCAACGCCCCAGCAGCATGCCAGTCCCCTTCTAACAAGGCACCATGGATCACCCCACTCCGTCGGGACTGAGATAAAATCGGAGCTGGTTCTGATAAGGGTGACAGGAGTGGGTGTGGCGGGGCTGCCGGCAGCGCTTCCTTTTCTTGTAGTTGTAAATGCAGAGTTCTGTTCTGTAGGCTTCACTGTCCTTTTCCGATGTTTGACCCCCTTTACTTCGGACATAGCCGCCGTCTTACTCTGAGTCAGACGCTGACGCGCCGTCAGGGGCGGAACCATCCGCAGGGGGGGAGGCGGGCGGAGTTTGGGGCGGCACGCCGCTCCCCCCTGGCGGGAGGGGTCAGGTGGGCCCGCCTCCTCGGCTCGGAGAGGCGCTACTTCCGGGTTCTTGCCAGACGCTGGACTGCATTCTGCGGGCACTGCCCCCTGTCCCCCCGCGCCGCCTGATTTCTCTGCCGCTTCTTGCGCGGTGGAGCAAACAGGAACACTTGGTGACATGCCCTTAATAGAGCGGAGCTGCTGATTAACCCCGAAGAAGGTGGCTAATCGTGACGGACGGTTGGTTTCGGCAGGGACCGGCGGGGATGGTACAGCGCCGACAGCCGCCATAGCAGCAGCGGCTACTTTCTTTTCTGCTTGCATCTCCCTCAGAGCTTTTACAATCGTTTGCCAGACCACCCCTTGCTGTCGTGCTTCACTGCCTTTATTGCCTCCAGTGATAGTCTCGTCCCACAATAAATCACCTACTTCACGCCACTCCTGTTGGCTAAATATTAGCAAGGGGTCACTCATTCTGTCCCGTTTTCTAGCCCACTTAAGCAGATCGTGGACATCTCCTTCCTTCAGCCTCTCGCCTCTCTTAGAGAGCATGCTAAGGAGCAGTCTTATTGCCGCGTCCGTTTCCATCATGGTCTTACCTCCAGCAAGGGTCAGTCGGCCAGCTGACTCTGGTTGCTAGTGTCTTTTCCTACTGCAGTAACTCTCTTGCCCCCAACTCTCTGGCTCCCAAATTGGATCCGTCGTCCAACGCTGCAGAGACTTCCCGTATTTAAGCGCCAGACTTCAGACACCTCATCACAGTCCTAGTCTTCTACAGGGTCCCTGTTCGGGCACCAGACGCAACAGGGTCCCCTCGAAGAATCGGCCGAGTAACGACAATCACACTGATGCGGCTACATGTCGTCCCCCTTTGTTGCCCGAATCGCTTGGTTATATACTTTGCACAGCAAGCACCCACTGTTTACGCGCCCCATACCCCTTGATTATTGGTCATAAGCAACTCCCAAAGGGAAACTGTGATAGGCAAGCATCTTGCTGTTTGCTGCATATTTGTGCTTAGCTTAGCCAGATACATAGCTGGGAAAATTCCCCATTTATCTTTACTCAACAGATACAGTTCCTCACAAAACAGCCCTTCAAGGTCATTCTCATAACACAGCTGTTGTTAGCAGTCTGATCTCAGGCCTGAATTGTCCAAACTTTGCAAGAAAATATCGCGGCCATTCTCTGTCAGAAATTCTTCTACACCCTTCTACATAGCAACTGGTCAAAGAATGAAATGAAACCTCACTGAATGTTACTGGATGTGTCTGTAAAAAACAAAAAAACACCAAAAAACAACCACCCCAAACAACACAGCTAGAATGGTGCATATTAGTATATAACCAGAGCAATAGAAAGAAGCTGGACTACTACAGAACAGGTAAGAGAGCTAGAATAAGAGGCCTGGCCCCTATCAACTCCTGGAAGTACAGCCTGAAGTAATGATCAATTCCAGAGTCACACTGCTCCAAAACTGAGCCTTGGACACATTTGCTGTAGGTCTGACAAGACCCCACAGCATCATCAGCTCTTTATGTCTTAGGATGTCTACAACCTAACACGTAGATTCTCAAGACTACATACACTTTTAATTGCTTCAGTGACCAGCACTGACTGCTGTCAAAACTCTAACAATATTTGCTGCAAGTAGTGAAGATTATATATCAAAGAGTTATAATTACAGGCCTGTACTAGGTCTCGCAGATGGAGTTAATTTTCTTCATAGCAGCTGATATGGTGCTGTGTTTTAGATTTGTGACCAAAACAACACTGATAAAACTAATGTTTTAGATATTGCTGAACAGTGTTTGCACAGTACCAAGGCCTTCTCTGTTTCTCACTCTGTCCCCGCAGTGAATAGATTGGGAGTGTGCACAAGAGGTTGGGAGGGAACACAACCAGGCAGATGACTAAACAAAGAGACATTTCATGCCACA